CTACTGGCGATTTGTCACTATCAACTTTGTGGAAGATTATGCAAAAGAGTTTTAGAAAGAAAATCTCGAAATCTCCATGGAGCCAAAACTGAATGCAAGGCTTATAATTGAGAAAAATTCAAAGCAGCAAAAAAATGAAAATGTTCCACTACATACTGGTGGTTGATTTCCTTGAACAACTCGATTCCGAATTATAAAATTTTGATCTTGCTTTTTTCATCTTTTTTATCTTTATGAGGCTCGGACGCCGATTGAGTAAGAGTAGTGCGCTGCTATCCCTGCTCATTTTCGAATCCGAGAATTCGCTCAAACCGTTGATGCGATCAACTCAAGAATTTTTTGGAAATATTAGGTTGATGCAAAAGTTCTTGCCCCTCATTTTCAAAAATTCATAACTTCAGATTTTTTCAACCAATTTGGCTGCATTTATTTTTGTATGAAAGAGTAACTCATGCTCTTCATAATGTCTTCTTAGCTGCTTGCTAATGATCATTTGTTGCATAGATAGGAGCGATAGAAGAAAATTGGTCAAAACTTGAATTTTCTGTGTAGGGTCATAAAAAATCGGAAACTTGCAAGAAAAATCGGAGCAGTCAGTATTGTAGGTTCTTTTACCAGCTCTTTCTAATGGCGCAAAGTTTGCGTCGATTGAGCGTCTCTATCGTAAGTTATGATTTTCGAGCAAGCAATACAAAAGGGCGATTTTGATTTATTTTGGCATTTTTCAGGAAAGTCATAACATTTTGTAGAGACGCTCAATCGGCGCAAACTTTGCAGTGTTAGAAAGAGCCTGGTGAAAAAACCTACAATACAGACTGCTCCGATTTTTCTTGCAAGTTTCCGATTTTTTATGACCCTACACAGAAAATTCGAATTTTGACTAATTTTCTTCTATCGCTCGTATCTATGAAACAGATGATCATTAGCAAGCAGCTAGAATGTCATTATGAAGAGCATGAGTTACTCTTTCATACAAAAATAAAGGCAGCCAATTGGTTAAAAAAATCGGAAGTTATGAATTTTTGAAAATCAGCGGAAAGAACTTTTGCATCAACCTAATATATGCAACCTCATGCCCTTGTATTTTGAACACATACACAATGGTAACAAATCATTCCAAGGTTATTCTTGCACAGCTGCAGGGGAAGTCTTTGCAAAATTGAAAGCTCTAACTCAGCAACAAACAATAGGAAAGATTGGTCAAGTTGGAGGGAAATGATCCGGAATAAAGTCCCTCTGGAACGGGATGCTCTTCCCTCGTCCAATGAACGCGCCCAAAACAAGAGCGAGAAGTTTTATTTCAAGGTTTCATTGTTAGTAAAGTAGAATGCATGAAGTTTTAGGACACAAATTACAGTAAATCTTTCAACTTTATAGGTATAAGTATCCTTCATCGTACACAAGCATATATTCTTCTTTTCTTTCTTTGTTCTAGGAGAATTGTGGGGGTTGGTGCAGAAAACCCGCCTAACCGAAGCTTCCTTTTTCAGTATTTCCAAGTTGAAGAAGATACAGATGTGTACAGAATTATACGTTACTACATATAATATGCAGACTTTTCCATGTCTCATTTTACCTTATTCGTATGAGATTTGGTTTTGGAATTCGGATGAGTATTGATTGCAAAGATTTTCAATTTTATAAGATTTTTGCAATATTCAAAATGAAAATTATCTATTCATTTTGTCGCATCCCACCCACATCGAAGTAACCATAGCGCTTCACTTTTTTCATAACATTTATCTGTGAATAGTGGAGTTTCAATCGCCAGAACAGCAGCATACATTTCTGTCAAATTGATGACACGGTGGTGCAGAATAATATTTTGCTTTCAAGAAGGTAAATCAACAAATACAACAAATCTAAAAAGTCTTGCACAACGAATATTAATGCGTGGCAGCAGTCCACAAGCGCTTCGATGCATTTCATTTCAATGCCTTTTTGTTTCAAATGCGTGATGGCTCATCTTTATTTTTCCGCTTCAGACTCACAAAATTGATAATTATCGAATAGTAGTATTCGGAATCATCGTAAAAATGAGGAGTTCACAAAAGCAGAAATTTATGTGTAGCAACGTATTAGTCGCGTGTTCTTTTGTAACCTAATTGAGCCTGCTCGCGCCCGCGACGCAGTCTGCGTCTCTCCCTCGCGCGTGCTCTCTAATCAGTGCCTAGCTCTAATCAAGTCATGAAGCCCCGCCTTCCAGCCGCCGAGCCAGTTGAATCAAAGGGTGGATTACATCGAAAACCTATCATAAATTGAGTTTTGCATCGTTCCAATTGTCACTCTCAACGTAAGTGAACCTTGATTACAATCTTGCTGATTCCATGTTGTTCGATCTCAACACTGATTGCGAAGAATCTGTAGAATCTATTGTTTTTAAACAGATGGCTTAATGTAAAGGCTCAGCCCAACCAATTTTTGTGATAATCAACTCTTCGAATTTGACAAAATTTGACAAAACGAACTTGCAAGTAGTAGAACCTACACTTTCAAGAGGAACATAATAACCCGCCATTTGTTTTGTTTCCATAGGAAAAGGAAATGAACTTTTGAATAATGGTACTCCCTTCCCAATATAAGCTAGTCTGAAAACTTTTGGATAGGATTAGCGACATCGATTTAGTGTATATCCTTGCACATTTCTGACCATCGAATGTCGCAGTTTTTGCATAAAAATTTAGCAACATGGGAAGCCTTGTAAACTCAAGAAAAACACTTTTGGGATCCCACGCAAAAAATTTTGTTTTAAAATATGGGAAATGCTGCTTTACTCAAAGGTAAAGGCTGCCCAATAGGTCCATGCAAATCACTTTCTGTTATGGCTACAGGTTTCTTGGCTGTAAGCGGCATATGAGACTTTTTTCTTATATTATGCAAGCCCTCTATGTGGGGGATAATCACCGCCTACTCTTACGTTTTTTTGTGGAAGTTTGCTCGTTTCGGAGGTCGCACAATGGAATGAAAAAATTTTTTGAATGATGGCAGATTACGGTATTTTGTCAATAGAATGTACTGACAGCCATGCAAAACATTATTGCAGAACGTCATTTTTTGTCATCCTTTCCTAACATCTTAGCTACTATCTTTTCTTTCAGTAAAAAAGTTATTACAAAGTCTTGACAGCTGACAGTCAAACATCTTATGCAAATACGAAAAGCCATATTTCAAAAACCAAGAATTCCAATAGATGGGCACCATTATCCTCCGTGTCCGCTGCTATGGAAAAAAAGAAGATGAAACTCGTGCTTGTCATGCTTGCTGACAATTTCCTGGGAATGTTTCCGTCATGCTACGGATCATTAGTTTTATATGACTAATGCTAGGCACCTTCACATTAATATTAACTCATCGTCACATTCTTCATTTTCGTGGAGAAATTTCTTCTTTTTGCAATCTATGCATTCACAATGAAATGCGTTTAGGAATGAATGACTTCCATTCTTTCAATTTCATATCACTCAAACTTTAGGACATAGGCGTCATTTCCGTTCTCATTTTCACTTCCAGCCCTCTTCTCTTGTAATGGACTCCATTGTTAGGTAGCGGCTGCTTCTAGCAGAATAGTCCGAACTCATTGTCTCATTTACGCAATTCGGAATTTCTGCAAAAATTATGCAGACGTAGATGTGATGTGCCAATAATTTCCAGTATTGAGCAAAAATTCCGAAACAGAGTTTCGATTGTCCTTATCGCAAAAGTATGCACACCTCAGCAAAAATTGCTTGATTGTGTAGTAAGGATATTTTCTCGCGAGCTATAAATATTTTCTCGCGAGCGATACAAACTACAGACGATTTCCTCACAAGTCTGACCCTAAGGCCTCGGGCATACCTCACGCGATTTCAGTCGCCATGCGATTTGGCAATACTCCAAATGTTCATAACTCATCCTACGGGGTTTCTGAATGTACAGAAGAGGGAGCATTTTATCAACCTACGAAAGTTATACATGCTGTGCATTTGAGGTCTTCCAGTATTGAATTTGAAGACATATGGCAAATTGCCAGATCGCATGGCGACTGAAATCGCGTGAGGTATGTCCCTTGCCTAAAAGAAATGAATGGCGATGATCAATTCAACAACGGGTAGGAAAAGTTCAAACTTTACTATCATTTTTGTGTCGTCTCCAGTACTAGCTTTTGTGCACATTTTAAATGCTAAAGCAAAGATAAAAATAAATGACGATAAGTGGGCTTTACAAACAATAATTTGGAACTTCAGCAGAGCATAAGCAGCAGAAATTGATCCGCTAATTTTTTCCGCTGCGAATTTTATAAAGCTTTACTCATCCAAGCCCTATCGCGCGTCCTCCATAAAGGATGCGATTGTCGCAGCTTTTGGACCAAATCTAAGAGATTAGCAGGTCCAGTTCGTATAGCGAAAGCTGGTGAAATTCATTCATAATTGAGCATTTAGAAAGTATGTCGTCGCTTTCCTCTTGCATGAAGTGTTTTCAGATAAGCGCTATCTAAAAGTTCATTCACCAAAATGCGGGACTTCAAAAGGATGCAGGCAGTAGTAGGTGATCCGATGGCAGTTTTTTAAGGAGGTTGGTTAATTCTCGATTATCCGGACTAGTGCGCTTCTGTTCTCTGAGCAACGACCAACACTTGATTTTAGTGAATCAAAGTTCTGCGGAAGTTTTGCCGCTTTGTTAGGGAAGTTGCGTTAATTATCTACGGAAGTTCCGACATTTTGCTGGTGAATGAGTAAACAATAATCATAAATATATGTCAGAAAATGCCTTTTTCTTGTTTCTTCAACATCGCCTAGTTACTTTCATAGAAAAAACAATCGCCAATATTCTCTTTCTCGGCGTTTTTTTGCCAAAAATTAGAGTGATTTTCTCCCTAAATCCTCATGGACTCACTTTCGGCTTTGCAGCTTATTCTCGCGGCTCACATTTGTCTTCAGACATGTCGTAGTGTCCGTGTGTAGTGCGTGTAGATGTCAGCTGAGTCGGTTATAATGTTAATCATGTTTCGTCCGTGCTTCGCAGGCTCCGCCCAGACGACGACGACGACGAAGTGTTCGGGAGAAGCGCGAGCCGCGATTTTGCTACGTACACACCCCGGGACCTATTGCTACCAGAAAAATGGATCGGAAGGATATCGAAGATTTTCTGAAGCGATCGAATTCGATATGTGATCAGGTAGGCCATTGAAAGCTATGGTTTACTGTAGAAATCTATTTACACATTCCTCTTGAAATTGTTTTTCCGCTTGAGAAAACTCGTCCATTATCGCTTTCGTTTCCAAGAGCAAGATCCAAGAGATCCAGAAGAATTTTCTGAGCACGCACATAATTATAAGCCAGCAGATAATCGCCATTATGACACATTTTTATAATTATTTCATCTTCTGCCTTGCCTATAAAAGGTCTAGAAAATTCATTTCTCCACTATCCTCGAATCCTTTCGATCTTTAGCCCACTCCTCCTCACTCTAGACTTTTTCTTACTCTCGTTTGGCAGTTCAACCCTCGGCGAAGCCACTCTGATTAGGCTAGAGTTCGCTGTTTTGTTGATTCTTGGCTCGATTCCAGATGACATCTGAGCATGTGACAAGGGCGATTTCGTCAGTTCCTGGACACAAGCAAATAGTAGAAGCTCAATTTTGATGCATAGACAAGACAGATGAGCAAAAATCATGGGTTCTTGGAAGACGGGTCACAATGTGGTTAAAAAAGCTGAATCTCATAAATCAGTACGCAGAAATTGGTGAAAAGTTCTCTCAGACTGCCTTCATTAAAGAAGTGCTGGGGTAATGAGCAAATAAAAATTAGCAGAAAAACGCAAAAATCGAGTATTCTCTTTAGTTTTGCCATAGGAAATAACAAGGGAGATGTCTAGACCACTTCAATGTGCTTAGCATTGTGAATGGAATTCCAAATACGCAGCTACTACCAGAGTTTCATCAGGGGCGCGAAAACTTTCAATTTGTGCAATCAGAGCATAAAAATCATCCCATAAGAACTTCTTGAAACTCATTTTTTTATCGTCTTGACAATTTTCGTTTGAGGGGTTATGAGCTTAAAACATAAGACTTTCGCCAAAATGTATTATTAAAAAGTTTAAATCAATTTTTTGACTATGTCAAATACTTCTTGATACAAACATCAAAGGTCGTGTTTTATTACATACAATAAAGATTTTATATAAGTCGGAATCAATCAAGAATCTGAATCAAGAAATCCGTAAATTTTATAGTCGAGAAAACTTCCGATCAGCACGAACTTTTTTAAAACAGCGAATTTATGGTAAATGTCGAATCAGTTTTTGGGCCCACAATTCAAGAAATCATTTGTCGAGCTTTTCTGATAAGCTTGTATCATGGCGATACCGCAACAGAAAGTTTTTGCCTCAAGCAATATTGGAAAGGGCAAGGTTTTCTGCATCTAAAATTATCATATTAAACGGTCTTGAAATATCATGAATTTTCAGATATTGCAAGACTTATTTTTGAATCTAAAACAAACTATAGAAACGACTATTTAATGTTTTTCAGCCGCATTTTTCCCATATATCTTGCTCGTGGTTTTTTCAACGAAACTGTACTAAGTGACCAGGTCCAACATTCTCGATGACAATCGTACTTCACATCGATAATATATGTCACCAACAGCTGACTTGTGGCCAACAAATCGTTGTTTGTGGTGTTCGTTCGTCGTTCGACGCTGGCGTTTAAAGCCTGGTTGCTTGGTTGCCTATGAGCCCCATAAATAACCGAAATCGACAATAAAGTCCTGGTATTCGACCAACCCAAAATAATTTATTTTCTGCGAGAAACAAACCGGGTCGTTTTGTGGTTTTTGAGGTCTTATCGGTCATGATCTGACCATGAAAATTTGTTGCCTAGCAGTAAGGGTAAAGCGAAAAATTGTGTTACTCACCGTCATATTTTATGCACTTTTTGTAATTGCCCAGCACTTTGAGCACTTTCAAATCGGAAAAAAAGTCACCGGAATTGTCAAAATCACTTTGACGGACTCTTTTCTGAACTTTAAGGAAAGCATTGAAGTTAAGGTAGTGCAATTGCACCAGGAAAATATGTCTGGAGCGTTTTTTTATTGACATAGTAATTTTAGGAGTTGAGGGAGTGAAAAAATAATTTGGGAAGGGAAGAGGAAGGACTGAAAGTGTAGGGCTAAAAATTAAGTCAAGTAAAAAAAAGAAACCTAGAAGATGAAGAAAACCGGTTTGAATACGTAAACATGTAACGATGAAAAGGATGACTAAGAAAAACTATTGATATGCCCAACGAGGAAATTTTTTTGAGGTAGGGTCCTTGTGGAAGGAGGGAGAATACCATTTAGTTCGGAGAGTTTTATTCATCTTCCCAGATTTCTCATGACTGAAGTTTCCTTTTTTCGCAGTTCAATGTTTTCCGAGGAAACGCTGGGCCAACAGAACTTTTATTTTCAGAAATTTTGGAGCAAAATCTGCGTGAAACCCCTGATTTTTCCAATTTCATTTTAGCTACTGTCAATGATCAACATTTCCAATTTCAAATGAACATACATTTATCTCCTAGTCTGGCTCAAAGCTTTAGTTTTATCATCAGAAGATGTATCGCAGTATAACATAAAGTGAAAATGGTCAAAATGTTTTCCCTAGAGAAAAAAAGGCCTTGCAGCGTTTATGTGCAACAATTTCACGTTGGAAAGGGCTATTGTAACGAAATTTGGAAATTTCGGTTGGAAAACACGTTCTATGGGCTGTATTGGTTTCTTTGAAGCAAGACGAATTTTCATTTGCTTTGTGATAAGAAAAATGTTCATGATGACCAGAAAACAATGTAAAACTCTTCGGACATTTTACTAAAGTTTTTTTTTCAATTTTTGCGCAATGTATCTTTTTTTTCGGAATAAAAACTTTGAGTTTTAGAATGCTATCAGAACAAGACACAACACTTTTCATTTCCTATCTTTCAAAAGGAAAACAGCAAAATTCTTTTCCTTCATTCATGTCAGCTTTGTTTCGTTTTCTTTAGCATTTTTGTTTACAGCACAGCCATCTATTATACTTTTATAAGTTTTTGAATGGCTTAGGAGCTGATGAGGTTTGAAAAATGGACTGAACTCGTCAACAAAGGTTCCTTCATGGGATTAGTCATAAACAACTATAATTTTCCTGTCCAAATATGGGAACAACTTCCTCCATTTCTGCTTTGATAAAAGAATCTGATGTTATTATCAGTAGCCAAAGCCAAACGTTCGAATTCATAATATCCTCTCAGGCTACATGAGACTCTGGGTAGATCAATTAGAATTTGAGGGAGCTTCTTCCAAGACCAGAAAAGATTTTATGCTTAATGACACCTTTTTTCATCGATAATTGCTCTAAAATATTTTATGCACATTATCCTTGACAAAACGACACATCAAAACAATAAGACCAAATCGTTGAATTATAGTCGGGCACAATCGAATACGACTCCCTAGAGAAATAACGTTAGCGATGGCCCGTCAAACAAACACGCGAAATGGCAACGTTTGGGTCAACTGCCTTTGTCCCCAAGAGAGGGAGCGGAGGGGGGGGGGGGGGATTTTTTTGCCATAAATGAGGTGTTATACCTGAAGTGGATTCTCTGGAAAGGGCCATTTTACCGAAATCACTACGTAATATATAACGAATTCGTTGTTTACTCATTAAGCCGCTGATAGTTGGATCATGGTAAACGAGGAGGCCGCAGACGTAAAAATTATGATGAAATACACTGATCTTTGGAATTGGATTTCTGCCAAGTGGCATGCGTTTTGGAACGCTGCCAAATTTCAAAACGAGTGACCAAGCATATTTTCGTAAAAGGGTCACACGCATTTCGAAAGGCAATCATGAGTGTCGCAATGATTTTGAGAATGGGTCGCCATCCGGGTGTGTTAATACTTGTACCTGCTTTTTTTTTCGAGCTTGTTATCCCAGAATGTGTCTTCCGAATATGTCGTACTTCTGTTAGTTGCTTTTGAAATGATGCCAAATTGCGTAACAGCGTGACTTGAGCTAAATTCATCTAAGTTCCCAACTCTTGTAAAAATGCTCTAACTAAGAACAGTCACTTTAGGATCGTCTTGCTTCCACGTGTAGACAAGAGAGTGCGTGAGTAACTTGGTCTCGCTGGTACTTTTGGAAACGTTTATCTAATAACAGCCTTGCTTTTGCATATGTGACTGGGTTTCGCTGGTGCTTTCAACTAGGTATGGTGTGTAAGCGGCACGTAGGGCAATTGCATCGGGCAGGGAAACAGATTTTTGTACGTTTGGGACAGTTCTTATAATTTTTGAACGGTTTTCAAGCGGCACGTAGGGCAACTTGATCGGGCAGAAAAACAGATTTTTGTACGTTTGGGGCAGTCCTTATAATTTTTAAATGGTCTTCAAGCGGCACGTAGGGCATTTTGAACGGTCTTCGAGCGGCACGTAGGGCAACTTGATCGGGCAGAAAAACAGATTTTTGTACGTTTGGGGCAGTCCTTATAATTTTTAAATGGTCTTCAAGCGGCACGTAGGGCATTTTGAACGGTCTTCGAGTGGCACGTAGGGCAACTTGATCGGGCAGGGGAACAGATTTTTGTACGTTTAGGACAGTTCTTATAATTTTTGAACGGTTTTCAAGCGGCACGTAGGGCAACTTGATCGGGCAGAAAAACAGATTTTTGTACGTTTGGGGCAGTCCTTATAATTTTTAAATGGTCTTCAAGCGGCACGTAGGGCATTTTGAACGGTCTTCGAGTGGCACGTAGGGCAACTTGATCGGGCAGGGGAACAGATTTTTGTACGTTTAGGACAGTTCTTATAATTTTTGAACGGTTTTCAAGCGGCACGTAGGGCAACTTGATCGGGCAGAAAAACAGATTTTTGTACGTTTGGGGCAGTCCTTATAATTTTTGAATGGTCTTCAAGCGGCACGTAGGGCATTTTGAACGGTCTTCGAGCGGCACGTAGGGCAACTTGATCGGGCAGGGGAACAGATTTTTGTACGTTTAGGACAGTTCTTATAATTTTTGAACGGTCTTCGAGCGGCACGTAGGGCAACTTGATCGGGCAGGGGAACAGATTTTTGTACGTTTGGGGCAGTCCTTATAATTTTTAAATGGTCTTCAAGCGGCACGTAGGGCATTTTGAACGGTCTTCGAGCGGCACGTAGGGCAACTTGATCGGGCAGGGGAACAGATTTTTGTACGTTCGGGACAGTTCTTATAATTTTTGAACTGTTTTCAAGCGGCACGTAGGGCAACTTGATCGGGCAGGGGAACAGATTTTTGTACGTTTATGCAGTTCTTATGATTGACGGTCTTTAGGTGGCTCGTGTGCTTTTCGGGGAGGGATCTACTTATGTAGTAAGCTTCATATTCCTTTGGCGAAAGAAATTAGAAAATTAGAAAATTTAGAAAATTTTCTGACAAAGTTCTTAGACGATTGATTTCGTTGCTGTCGGATTGATTCTGAGAGAAAAGTGTTTTTTGTAGTACACAATTGTTGTGGATATTTCTACTTCCAAAACGATAGGTGTTCTACTTCCTTGACGATCTTCCATAGAAATTGTTGAGTCGCAGCAGGAATTTCGAGAAATGCTGAGTGATTTTTGGAGATTATTGCTTCTTCGAACAGTTCTCCTTTTGTAGAATGCTTCGCAAAGATGTTCTCAGCAAAGGCATAGAAAACTTATTTAGAAATATTTATAATCACAACTAAGCCCTTATATTGTATCTGCCCCTACCCACTTGCTAGCGACCCGTAGGGTCGCTAGTATACCAGATAAAGTGCTAATTTACTGAAATGACTTCCATTGAATAATGTATTATTAAGTACGAAAAATGATTATTTGTCATGAAGTGAGGTTCTGGAGAATATCCCCTCTTCAAAGAAAATGTTATTCTAAGAAAATGATTTTCATAAGCTAGATATATATATATATCGCACAATGTCGGTTGTAACAGCCAATTTGAAGGAAAAAGAGACAAATCTATAGTTTTGCAATGTGTTTACTCAACTTTTTCGCACTTTTGAAGTTATTGTTTTTTTCTTGAGTCACCATAGCTTCACTAAATTGCCTTTTGTAAGTAAGATATTGCAGAAAAACCAATCAAGTAACTAATCAAAATTCTCCAGAACTCTGATGACATCCACAATAATTTGTAAAAAATTCGAGTTCTTAGAATTCCACGAGGTATTTCTCCTGTAGAAGTTCCGCACAAATTTCAGAGTTTCGCAGAAGTTCCGTAGATCTCTGAGCCTTATAATTTTTCTCGAAAATTTGCGCTCGTTTGTGTGTTTGCTATAAGACAACGTTTAATGTCAAGCGAAGCAAGTCTCTTATATTTTAGCGAAAAGTTTTTGTTTACGGAAGTTCCGAGCTCGGGTTGACTGGCGATCATGTGCAGAGGTCAGCTATCCTTGGTTTGTCTTCGCGTGCTTTGGTTTCTGAGAATGAAAATCAGGAAGTGTTTGGTCACTAAGCAACAATTCCGTCTGTTCAAAATTTGAAATGGCACAAACTTTAAGCGGAAGCGTAAAGGCGGGAAGAGGATGGGGAGGGGGAGAGGGACGGGGCAGTTAGATGGGTTGCGAAACTATTTATATCTTTGTAGCTTCTTAACGCAGAGATTCCTCATCAGCTTTGATGGAAACTTCATTATCTAATTTTGAAAGAATGTCCCTTAATGAGTTAATGATCCAGTCCCGATAAACATCCTCAAATTACTTCATAGATTCGTGATCAGAGCACAATTTACGGCAATTACCATCTCTATTAGGCTCTCATAATGCAGTTGGCTCAACATGTATAGCTGCTGAATGCGTTACTCTCATTGGATTATGTAAGAGGAGATCGTGGGTAGCTATCGGGGGGGGGGGGGGGAGAGGAAGGATGGCTCACGTATCTCCCCGTTGTTTTCGTAACAATAGAGATCCACTAATCTAGCAACAACGAAACGATGGTCCCATTAAAATTCCTCGTTATCAGACGACACCGAGGAGGGAGGCGGAAGGGGATAAATGTGCGGACAATATTGTCAAAATAACTGCTGAATTTTCTTGATTGTTATCTCTCTATATGATGAGACGTACTTAGCAGGAAACCTCAAAAAATTTCCTTCAAACTCATCAAGAATTTTTTACTCCTTTCGAAGTGGTTTGATTGATAGGCATATTTTAACTAGACTATCCTGAGATTTTTGTGATTACAGACGATTCATTTTTGACAAAAAACTTTAGCGAAATAGCATTCTTTAACATTTTTTTCTAAGTTTTCCTTTGTCTATGGGCAGCTGCTAAGGTCTAGAGATATCCTTAGAAACTTCCATCGAAGCTCTCCTCACCTCAAGGGATTTGCCAAAGTCTTCGATCACATGCTTTTTTACTTTTTTGGACTTAGCCATGGTTTTCTCTATCATCAGTCATGTCCTTTTGCCTTCTCTTTTGCTAAAGGCAGGATTTTAGTCCAGTCGAACAGCAGTTTCTATTCAGGGTACGACCATTCTTAGCCTGGTTGAAATATTTATAATCTAATGGGTAGCAATAATTTCAACTGCTTGTTGACGTTGACGAACTTAAAAAATAAAACTCCTGCAGAAACGTCAATGCCAGGGCACTGCTTTGTTCAAATGGAAAGCTAATGCCTTCTTTGCTAAGATTTAGTTCTCTGCGCTTCTCATCAATCTAGTCTTGCCGTGATAGATGTAGTCCTCGGCCCAAATGAATTTCTAATAATAAAATTAGCCAATGTTCCTTTGCGAGCTACTCGCCTTACTGGAGCAGAAAATAGGCGGTGCAGGGAGGTTAAGATTGGGGTTTGAGCTATATTAAGGTAGATTCAAATTTATGACATTTTGCATTTTACTTTCACAGAAACAATCGCAATGATGTATCTCAAGCTATTAGAATCGTAGTAAAATTGACTTTCACATAAATGTAAACTATAATAAGTGTCGAGAGAGGCAACCGCTGGAGCCTAGCGAAAAAACCTAGGGTTGGCATACAATATTTTTCATCATATTTTCACTATATCAGACCGAAGTTGATAATCCCGTATTCAAACTGAAATTACGGAGCTCGCTTCGAGTTTTTCATAACTTGAGAATTAATTCTAGTCAATCAACTCTCTTCTCCCTTTTTCGTATATAATTTGCGCTTGGATCGAACGCAACTCAGCCTTATCACTACATACTCTATGTGCATTCAGTCCAAATGTTACTAAATCAAAGCCCTAGTTTACTCCTACCTCTCAATTCTAGAGAAGCGTTGTTTTGCTTGCATACATCCTCACAAAGCCTCCTTTCTTTTCGCTTTTCTCTCAGCTAATTAATATCGGTTATCAATGGATATATTTGTCACAAATGGCGTTGTTTATGTTACTGGATCATCAGCGTCAAGATTAGGTTATGATTTTTTGTGTAGCTTTTTAACCACAGCATATCATTTTTTCTCGAAGGTGACTGTATGCACTAGCAGAATTTTACAATTCACCTGTGGTTTTTGTGATATGAAAAAACAATACAGAAGACGCTAGGTCACACCAGTAAATCGCAAAATGTCTTCAAGTTACTAGCACAAACTTGAATTGAATAGAAATCAAAAAAGTGATAGTATGCACAGCTCAACCCAATGTGATTTGAAATAAATTTCAATTTTCCAGACATCCACTGAACTCGATGAAGTGAATGTACGACGGATGTCACTCAAAGAATTCACTGGCTTGAACGACACAAAAGAAGAAATGACGTGAGCTAATTTACTGTAATTTTATGTTATTATAGATACACCATTTTGAATTAGTTTGATAGCTGCAAGAAAACAAACATGTTAGCTTCTTCTGAAATTCACAATAACTGTGAACATGGTTCTTCTCCATTTCCACTCCTCCTCCTCTCCTCCCAACACATTTTAAAGGCAGTGCCTCGGTACTAGAATTTCGCTTTCCAGATTTTCACCTTTCTGGAGCCTTCTTGCCATAAGAAACTCATATTTGGGCTTTTCGGCTCATAGAAATGGCGACAATGAGCTTTTTCCGCAAGTTTTCGAGGTCTGCATTTAGTGGGGAATACGTCAAAAGGGCGGGGCCCGGAATGAGGGAGACGAGGCGCGGAAGACTTCCGGCATATCTTCGCTGAATGCGGACTTGGAAAGCTTCGGAAAATGCTCATATTCGCTAGTTTCATGCACTGAAAAGCTCAGATATGGATTCCTCAGGCGAGAAGACTCAGGAAAGGTGAAAAATTGGAACGAAGTTTTGCCGAGACATGCCTTTAAGTTTCTGAAATTTCTTGAATGTTCTGAGATCTTCTTTAAAGAGTGGTTTCCATAACTTACTTTATAAGCTCATTCATTAGAATTTTGAATAAAGCCCATAAACACAGGGTATCTGTTCTTTCCTCAAAAGTTTAGCGCTCCCAATGCTTAGCAGCAGCTTTAACCAAAAGTGTTAAAAGCCTTTTGAAGGCAAGTTCTTATAGAGAGCTACCAATACCGTCGTGGAAATCTTCAACAACACCTTCATCTCTGATCAGTTCCTACTCTGCTCGACGAAGGAGTGTATTAGCCGCAGAGCTGCCGGAAAGTCCAACCAGGAAACTGACTGCTCCTAGGGAAGAAAGCGTCGATTTACCTACAGCTATCAGAAGGTCAGTACTATTAATACTTTTTTTGATCTTCTATAAGAGAACTTTGAAAGGGATTTATTGGCTTTTTCAAGGAACCCAAAGTTATTAATTGTTTCTGTATGAAATTAATATGTTTTTTAGGGTTGAGAGACTGCAAGCTCGTTTACAAGAAGCGCATGCTAGTGCAAATCCATCGTCAAATTCTACGCAAGCCGATGACCAGCACAAACTGCTTGAAGAAAGCAAAAGGATGGTTGTTGCTGCGAACGAATTCTCACAGTAAGTTCTTTGAATAATTTTATATACGTTGAAGTTCACTTTTATTTTTAGAATCAAATGTTCTGTGCCGGAATCGAAATGGAGCACGGCCATCGCTGAGGTAACTAAAGCTGAGCTACCAGATTTTGAATTTAAAAGAAAAAATTATAAATTTTTTCAGGTAACCGACTGTGCTGATTGTTTGACCACAGCTGCTCAACAGGCTATTTGCTCGAGCAGTGTATACTATTCCCAGCTATTCAGCACTGAAGTAACTCAAGTAAGAAAATCTACTCCCTCGTCAAAAACTGTCACTTTTCTAAAACTCAAATTTTCAGGTACTGCAAGCGCTACATGATGCTCTGAACGCTTTGGAAGAGGCGCGAACAAAAAATGATGATTCTATATCTTTGAAACCAATGACTAATCTGATATCAAGAACTAACCAGCTTCTTCACGCCAGTTCAACGACGAGTTCGACCACAACATAACTTTGCTTTCTTTGCACAGCAAAAATCCAAGCTTGTATGCAGGATATCTCATGCCAGTATTTTTATTGCAAGGTTTCATGTATATGTCTCAAAGTTGGTTTGTTTGGCATTTTGCCAAAGTTTTTTCACAGATAAAAAACATTCTATGTGCAGTTTCTGTTCAACAATTTTTTTGGGAACAAGCTTGATGGATTGGGAGTGTTTTGACCATTCGATATCAATCAATGTCTTTTATGTTCCTTTTTTTTGTATCTCAGCTAAAAAAAACGGTTTTATCGCATATTATACAAGTCTTTAGTATTAAATACACAAATAACGGCAGATGGCACATGTTCGCAGATTCTCTCGCCATTCTGCTAAGAAAAGTGCAACATTGGACACATTTATCCGTGAAGGTTGCGGATCTTTGAAGATTGAACAACTGGTTACAATTTACTACAGCAGCAGGCAGATGTTCGAAGGCGATGACCAATAAACCTGGGCAGTGGGTTTCTTATGTAAATATTTTTCTCGCTTACTTTTCGCCTCAATTAATTCGTTATTCAACTGGCATGGAACGCTTATTCCAAATCTGTTTTCAGTGTCTGCAAAGCGCTTCTGCAAGGGTAGTTATGGGAAATCTTTGAAGCAAAAATGTGAACTCGCATTTAAAAGAAAATCACTCAGAACTGTAACCTGTAAGCTCAAATGGGGCCATAATTAGTGCGGTGACATTGACACGGTGCTTAACGCAGTCATCACCTTCATTATATTGAACTTAAGCTAGTCAGTGCTTCCAAGCGCCGGACAACCTCAATACCTGTTTTTCCGTTAGCCGTCCCCAGAGTTTTGCCTTGAAAAATTCCCAATACTACCTTACCAAAAGCGCTTTGCAGATACAGGAAGCAGATTTGAAATTAGCGTTCCATGCTCTACGACACCTTAGGCCGTAGCAAACTCCGTGAACGTGACGTACGCGGTTGCAACCTAAGCTCAGCCCCAGTTTTATTCCGCAAGCCATTGATCTACTTGCCGGCTAATTTAGTATCACGAATATATCGTGATCTTCGTGACCTGTCAGCTCGCAATTTACTCGCGTTATAGGGACAACCGGCAAATAGGTTAAAGGTTTGCGGAATGAAGCTAACAAGGGAAGGATACTTGGTCGAAGTGGCGTTTCCATATGAAATGCATACTATTTTATAGAGCATGCAACGCTGATTCCGAATCTGTCTTCGTTATCTGCCGAGCGCCTCTGGACGCCGAGTTATGAGCGTTCCTTTGGTTGAAAAATCTAATGCGTAATTAGAGCGAAATTCGTCAGAATTGCTCAAATGGTCCGAAGTTGGTTATCAGAGCACTCCATTACAAAGGATACCTTCTGTCCAAAACACTCATACTACATGTTGCTCTATTTAGGCGCTGAAAAGTCCGTAATAGTTAATTTTACTTAAATTCTGAGTTCATTTTTCGCTCCAAAAAATTTTATAACTCGACGTCCAAAAGCGCTCGGCAGATAATGAAGGCAGATTCGGAATCAGCGTTCAACGCTCTTCAAAATGGTATATGACCCATTTGGAAAGGCCACTTCGACTGATTCGACCTCCCTTGTAAGTTGGAGCTTAGGCTGCGAACTCGTATGTCACGTTCATGAAAATTACTACGGCCCCTTGTACAATTCGTACGGTAACTTTACTTCGACCACATATCCTTCCCTCGTTAGACGAGCTACATAGTTAAGGCATCCCAGTCAGTATTCACTTGAAAAATACCAAGTGCCCAAATCTGCTTGGACGCTGCCTCTAGAGTGAAGAAGTGAAGCGATTACAAGTCATACAATAATAAGACAAAAGAGGTTGTTGTTGGAGAAACTTCGAATTGATGCGTTGAATATTCTATTTGTTGGACTTTCATAATTATAAATACATGAGAGTGGTCAGTAGCTTATCGTTTGCATATGAAAGGCTTTGTGACAAGACAAAAAGCATCAGCCCATTTTCCGGAAGCCTTGATCTCGACGCAGTTTTCATTGTGACTTGCGTTGTCCGGCTCTCCTGCAAAAGAAATAAGCATACCTGACTTTTCTCCGAACTTCCTATGAGATAGAGAAAGTTCTCAAGTTCATCATTACCTTCCGCAAAGTTTCTGTAATTAACCGGTGTCTGATCAGAGTTTACAAAAATGTTTTCCACTTGAACATCGTTGACGCCAATCCAGGCAGAGGCAGCTCTCAGAATTCCTATAATTCGTATGAGATCGGAATTCCGTATTGCTTGGCTATCAAAGCCAACACAAGGGCAGGCTGTCTCAAAATTTAAAGCTTTGATTTCGAGTCTACAAGTCTGATAAAGAGAATTAATACAAATCAAAAGCTAGACATTCGCAGGTACTATTGCTAAATTCCAGACCGAAAGGCTTTTTCAGAGGATTTCTTCCTACGAAATTTTCTTATATATCTAGACCAGTTAAAACAGCAAACCTTGTACGAAGGCATTTTCCTTTTCATCTTTGATTGAAACGAGGTGTCCTCCCCAAACAATGCAGTCTTCTTCTGCTTCGTACCACGATTTTCTAGCCTGTAATCAATTGATGTGAACAAGAAGAAGCTCCAATAACTTTACAACGAAACTACTACCTGCATAAAAATGTACTCATTGTTGTTGTATCGATGGATCCTGGCACCAAGAAGTTCGAGACTTTTCTAAACTGCACATACATGGAAGAACACAGGAACCAAAGATATAAAAGTGAATTGTGATTGGAAAATGAAAGTGATCAGTTATAGTATTAGATCGTTTCATGAGTTCGCAGAGTTTTTATTTTAACAGCCATTTTTTGATGAAACGAATGGTTTACGACAAAGTATCTGTACCATTTCAAAGAGCTAATCTTGCTCTGCAAGAACTATAGTCGTTTTCGGAGCACACCTCGATTTATGATTTCTCAAAGTTTTTTGAGAGGCAATTGTTGATGCTTTCGGCAACTGCACTTTTCGTATTTGGTCCATATGCAAAATGTTATCCACATACGTAAGCAGAAAGTTAGTAGCAAGCAAGATTCTGTACTGACAAATTCGCAGCACGCCCATGTGCTATGAACTGTATAAACAAGTTCTCAGTAGTTGCTGTCTTTGACTGTTACCGTTTGAGACTTGCGCGCTTTTTAGCGACAGAACGTGTCCGTTCCTATCAGGCCTTTGACGAATGGATGGGTTCTCTTCAGTGATGTAGATGGATGAATGCGAGCTGTAGCTAACATTTTACGCTTTTCCAAAAATTTTTGCTGTAGGAATTCTCTGGATCGTACCAAGCAGAACATCTACACACATGGTAGAAGTGCGCTTTATCCAATGTCTCTTTAGATAAAGGAGTGCTTTTGTATGCACCATAGTTCCGTAAACAGTTGTTTTTCACACTTATAGCAACTTCAAGCGAAAAGTTCCCACTTATGATGTCCGTATATGGATCGGAATTTGCAGGTGCCGAAATCGTCAATTTTTGCCTCTCAAAAAACTTTGCTTTGAGAAGTCACGAGGAACATTAAATTTGTTCCGGAAACAAACAACAGCTCCTGTAGAGCAGAACTGGCTCTTTTGAATAGTACAGATATTTTGCCGTAAACCAACCGCTTCATCAATTATCTACGAACTTATGAAACGGCCTAATACAGTGCTGGCCAAAAGTTTGCAGCCACTCCAGAATTTTGCTATATCTTACTCTTTTTCGCATAGAACGATTCCAAATTACGACATTACGTGCATTTCACACTACTTAACACTATGTCAAGAAAATTTTGCAGTTACATGCGCACCGGAGGGGTCTTTGGGGAAAATGGTGAAAACGGCTGAATTGAAGTTGGTCAAAACTTGCAGCCACTTTCTTCTAAATGTCTTTAAAAAACTTGTCACAACTTGTCACTTTCCATTATGTGGGCTACAGATGCACCAATAAACCTTGAGATATGCAGTGCAGCCGGCTTTCATCAAACTCCCAAAAAGGGAACTTTACGAAGCAAAGTTGCTTGAGCGCAAATTGACCGCAAAAACTGATTGAAGGCAGTGTCCGGGCAAAAAGTCGATTTTGAGATTTTGTGCTTACCCGGGCCTATTCGCTATGGTGAACCCGAAAATCCACACGGGAGAGCGGAAAAACGGCGAAAAAGGGCCCTAACACAGGAGGGAAATGAGCAGGTGGGCGGGGTCCTCCCCACTGCGAATACACGTTCCCGGCTTTCGGAGCGACCTTCTCGCTTCCGGTTTCAAGTCAATCATTCGCACTTGACCGGTAGCGATGTTAGGACGGCTAGCGGAATCGAGAAAATCGCTCCGGGAGCTGGGAGCGTGAAATCGCACTGGGGAAAGCCCCGCCCACCTGCTGATTTACCTCCTGTGTTAGAGCCCTTTTTCGCCGTTTTCGCGCTTTCCAATGTGGATTTTCGGATTTAGCATGGCGAATAGGCCCATATAAGCACAATATCTCAGAATCGAGTTTTTGCTCGGACACTGCCTTTAAATCATGAGGTTGTCGAGAAATCTTCGGCTGATCCATGTTTCTATGAAAGGTTGTACCATTTGGACGTTTAGTGGAGGTTTGCGAATGTGACAGAGAAGTCATTACTTGGCATGTTTCAGAAACTACCATCACCTTAACTCAGATTCGGAGCACCTTTCGGCTCAAAAATTGGGCTCAGCAGTCTGAGAAATTCTCAAACTTGACTAGAACATTGCTTTGAGAAAGACGAGCATTGGTCCGGAGCTCGAAGAGTTCTATTGGAAATATGGAGGCGCTACTGTCAAAGAAAAGTTTTTACAATTATCACACCTAGGAAATGTTTGATTTGCCAAAGGGATTAATCAGCTGAAGATTGTGCAAATTTTTTTCTGGCAGTAGCGCCTCCATATTTCCAATAGAACTCTTCGAGCTCCGGACCAATGCTCGTCTTTCTCAAAGCAATGTTCTAGTCAAGTTTGAGAACTTCTCAGACTGCTGAGCCCAATTTTTGAGCCGAAAGGTGCTCCGAATCTGAGTTAAGGTGATGGTAGTTTCTGAAACATGCCAAGTAATGCCTTCTCTGTCAAATTCGCAAACCTCCACTAAACGTCCAGAGGTACAACCTTTTCATAGGAGCATGGATCAGCCGACGATTTCTCAACAACCTCATGATTTAATCAATTTTTGCGGTCAATTTGCGCTCAAGCAACTTTGCTTCGTAAAGTTCCCTTTTTGGGAGTTTGATGAAAGCCGGCTGCACTGCATATCTCAAGGTTTATTGGTGCATCTGTAGCCCACATAATGGAAAGTGACAAGTTGTGACAAGTTTTTCAAAGAAATTTAGAAGGAAGTGGCTGCAAGTTTTGACCAACCTCAATTCAGCCGTTTTCACCATTTTCCCCAAAGACCCCTCCGGTGTGCATGTAACTGCAAAATTTCTTGACATAGTGTTAAGTAGTGTGAAATGCACGTAATGTCATAATTTGGAATCGTTCTATGCGAAAAAGGGTAAGATATAGCAAAATTCTGGAGTGGCTGCAAACTTTTGGCCAGCACTGATATACCTAATTTTCACGACAGACAACAGTTACTTACTTATGCTTGTTAGGGATTGGTCGGAAATTAACCGGGCCAATGCAAACAAACTACGTATCTTCAAATTCCCCTGGAAACGCCGATCTCAAATATACAGGGTGTTCCAAAAGTATGTATAACTGTTTGATCGTTAGTATTTCTTTTCCCAAGAAGTTTTTTGCCTTGCTTCAGGTACCGTTTTGTAGAGCTGGCTTCAACTTAGAGTTACAGCATGGAGAGAATCACTGACCGCTCTTCATTGTTGTAGGATTACGGTAGAAACTTGAAACATATGGTTTCAATGTGGAAAAAGCTGCCGTTTCAAAAATTTTCAAAAAAATGTGAAAACTTGTGTAATAGGATTTTCATGGACGCTGAGTTCAATACTCAGCTGTTCACAAGATTGCGAAGCTTTCTAAACTGTGTAACCGCACTTTTTAGGAACATTGAAAAAATGACCGCTATTGCTTACCTCACATAACTTTTTAATGAAGCATCATAATAGATTGAGAACTTTAGATTAGAATCAGCGACTCTATTTAGCCTAGTGTAAAAGTTTTCAGGCCGTTTTGTTTCCTTTCTGAGTCAAAACAACACAATTGGTGCGCCACAATCATATTTCATTTTCTTATGCATTTCAGCTGCACTCCAATTGGAGTCTCACCGTCAGTTTTCTCACTTCCACCTCGTGCTTGCGTCGCAGATCATTCACTTTTCGATCCGTTCTGCTCTCATAAATCTCCAGATCGTTTTCGAAGCGCGCCTGACAATAACCATCATTGATAAAAGCTTGCGATCCATACGGAACATTCACCTGAAGGTCCACTATTTTCTCAAGAACCTCTGTCTGCAAAGCTTCTTTCAAATCACGAAGTTTTTTCTCAAAATTTTCCGTCAGATTTGAGGTGAGCTGTTCGATATCCGGGAGTTCTGGAAAGAATATGCCTGTCACTCTGGACTTTTTACTTCCTTATAAAAGCCAGACCTCTTGTCGGAAGGGGTGATGTTGTCGTGCTGGAAATAGTAGATGTTGGTTGAGTCATTGGGAAATGGATAGCTCGACCATCTATGGATATGAAATTGTTCGGATGCTCATTCCAATGGTGAAGAACTTTTCGTGCTTCTAAAAAACTTGGAAAAAATGAAACCTGCGCTTTAAATAAAAATAGGCTCACCTCTTACATTAGGTGACCGTGTACATTGTGAGAGTAAAGCTCGAAGACAGCGAATTTCAGCAGCCCAATTGTATCCAAATTTCGAACACACCATATTTTCAGCTCCAATGGCTGCTAAGAGCGTTGGGAATAGCAATAGCAGTCGCGAAACCATATGAAAGGTACTGAATTATTTGGTAAGGTAACAAACTACGACACCAGAGAGCTTTTGCAGCAACTGCATCCACAAGTAACAAAAAGTACTACAATTACGATGTCTATCCGTCTTCGTTTTGAGGTTTTGCACACCTGTCAATGCTTTGTGTGTTGTTGTGTCATAAATATTCGTGACACTTGATGGAAAATAGCTTTTTTTCACTATTTAGGACTTGGGAGATAAATAATAAGGCGCCGAACGAAATTAAGTGCAATCCTCTCAAAAACGATTTTATCCTGAAATGTGGGTGAATCCGTCTATCCCTATAATTCGTTCGTAGCCAGAAATACCCCCCCCCCCTCTCCATGTTGTACTCTTTCGAAGCGGAGCAATTAGCATTTTTCGAAGCGGTAGTGAGTGTTTTGAATCAATACGCAACAAATTCTTATATGATGCCGATTAGGTAAGCTAGTTCAATGTCTCCATCAGTTTCCACAAGACAAAATCAAATGCATAGATTCGACTGAACATTGCTTCGAAGACAATTCCCTACACATGATGCGTCTTTGGAGAATGATTTGTGGGGACTGAACAAGACCTGCGCAACTCACACTTCAAAAGATCGATATGATTTTGTGAGATACAATGGTACACTTGATTCGAACTTGTATCTACTTCTTTTAGCTTAATGAGTGGTGATATTTGTGATTCAATACAAGCCAATGTAACGACAAATTACTTAAGAATGGCAGATAAACACCGGAGAAAGTTGATTTTTTTTTGATTGCTAATAAAAAACCTTGAATATTATGTAGCTTAGAAATAAGTTCATTGCGTTTTCCAAAACAAAACACTCAAGCTATTAGGTTGTGTGATAAGTTCTGTTCCATTTTTTCTTTCGATTTTTTCTCAGTATTTTGCGCGATGTTTTGTAAATTGTTTATATGCATTTAAAAGCTCTAAGACTTCTTTACTAAAACTTTCATTTCGGTTTTCTACATCAGCTAACTTGCAAAAGTTTTACAGCTTCAAATTTGGAAAATCAAACAGGAGAAAAGTCAGTTTTCGACAATTACGTTACGTCGCCTTCCTAATTAGTCAGCATGCCTACGAATAAGCTCGAAGAATTTGCTACACGTAAGCAAAGAATGCTCTAGCTTCTATTGCGCTTCAGGAGTGCTGAAACTTTCAAAAATCATTTCTGTAGACTTTATAAAATCTCGTTTCTAAGCCTTTTCAACGTTGGTGTTGAGCATCATCTGAAGGCATCCTGAGGGAAGACGGTAGGGGGATCCAGAAAAGGCAGAGGGGATGGTTTGTGGGTTCAAAATTATCGAATTCGTAGGTTAAATACTCAAAATTCGAATTTTGGGAGCCACACAGCTTGGGTACGAGACGGCGAACATCGCCGTGACAAAGTCTTTCCTTGCCGACTTTTGAAAAAATGTCGTATAGCCGGTAGAAGGAAGGGAACATGCGCAAACAGTGGTAGAATTAGTGTAAAAGTCTAATAGATTGTTTTGGTTGTCAAGTTTGCTAGTAAGTTTTATCAATAAAAATCCAGAAAAATTTGGAGGAAAAAAGATGTCGAAAATTGGTTTTCGGCTCTTTGGATTTTTTATTTCAATGATGAAAATCTTTTGCAATTTTCTGCTATATTGGGGAGCGATGCATATGAACCTGCAGAGCAAACTTATAGCTTTAAAAAGTATATACACTTTATCTCAAATATAGTCAATGTTGTCAAGAAAAAACTAAAACAAAAAATGGGGCAGAACTTATCACACGACCTAATATTTTTGGTGGACTACTTGCATTGACTATTACACTGCTCTTTATTGAGCAAACTATCTTCATCTCCAACTTATGTTATTGGAGAATGTTAGATTATTTTTGCATAACACTTTATCCAAGCAAATACCAAACGAAGGTGATCTATAATGTGGATAGATACGCAGGAATCAAATTTCAATGAGGGTAAAGTGTAGCTATTTTCAAGAAATGTGGAGGTGCACTGCAAGAGCATTGCTTACGGACAAGATGCAAGATTGCTTATTTGAGGAATAGTCATGCTTCAGTGGAGCAGAAAAAGATGAAAAAACATAGTCTTGCATATATTTAATCTATGCTATACTGTAAACGAGAGAAAGACACGAAGTTTTTTTAGCCAGAATCTATAGTCTCAAATAATTCAAAATCCCTATAGGGAAATCTTCCCCATCACAAGCGTAGATCTTCCCACTGCTTTAGTTCCTGGTACCGGAAGTCTCTGGTCTAGAATGGCACGCGGCTGTGACGACGGCACCTCTCATGTCATTCAATATTTATTGCAGGATGCAGGTGACGTTTGCAAAAAGTTTTTTTCTCATAATTTTGCTTTTTTTCCATATAGGTTCCTCAGATGAGGCATTCGGTCTTACCCATGATTGATTGAGAGTTAGGCGTGATTTAGGAAGTCAAGTGAACAGCCGAAAATGAGCAGATATCTTATAAATTACGGCGTTAATGGCTAAAACATAGAATGCCGAGATGCAAGTAGAAGAAACATGAAAAGCGAATAGCCAGCTGCGTCAACGATGAGGGCTGGTAAATCAGGCCGGTGATAAATGCTCGACATTGCCCGATCTGAGTCGAGGCTCGTCTCTCGCTGGCTCTCGACGATCACAATAACGAGCGTTGACGGCCGAGATGAACGGAATCGCTCCAATGCTTTCATTCGCTCGTCGTAACACAAAGGTTTTTTTTCTTTGCGTGCCCCGACATTTGTACCCTCGCACACGTGCGTGTAAAGATGCGTTGTTTTTATCGGAAGTACAGTTATGTAGTCAAGGGCAAGCTTATAGCGTTACTGCTAGCAATATATTTGTAGAATTACATTCTGTATAACACACTAAGAGTGGAGTCCAGGCTGACTTTGGCATGGGTGCCAGGATCTTCTTGCGGCTATTGTGAGGTTTCAAACATACTGGCCAAATCGCACTCATAAAATTATTTGTGGCAGAGATGTTCGATTTGCAAATCTCGCCCAAGCGGTATTTTTCAAACGAACTAATCAGCGTCCTCATACATGATGCTTAAATTCACCGGACGCTGACGAGGGAGGGCTGCGTGGTCAATGTGACGATCCGGAAGGTGATGTACATTAGCGGAAGAGATTGCCCTTAAGTATACCTTCTATATCTGCGAATCCTTTTATTATAGGAAGTTATGGGCTTTCTTGTATTCATAATCAAAGTGTAGTCTAATAGGAAAGTGATGCTGGATAACAAAATGGTTGGACAGCTCTCGATAACGTTTAGATGATATCAGATTAAACCTAGAGTGGTTACTAGATGGTTTGCTGGAGCCTGCTTACTTTTGGAAATTACCGTGATCTTGCAACTCAAAATGCAATATAGCATAAGAGAAACTCATCAATTTCTTCCAGAAGAACCAGGGCTCGGCACAGCTGGCACCGGGTCAAGCTGGATATCGTTTTTGGGGCGAAAGCAAAGGGGATATCGTTTTTCCGGGGTCCAGGGCGGAGAAGACCCGCAAGAATGCCGTCGGCATGTCATCGGCAAGCCGTTCATCGAACAAACAAAGGCGTTGTTTTCAGCCAAAACGCAATTGACACCAAATTTGGTGTGTGCATGCGCGTTGGGGGACCCGAACTATGGCCTAAAAATTTATGAAAACTTACTCAGGCAAATGACCGGAACTTCCGCAGAGCGCTTGCGGAAGTTCCGTAAACGTGTTGCGGAAGTTCCGAAATGAGGTCCTGCGGAAGTTCCGAAGAATGCCAACCACAACAGCAAGAGAATACTGAAGCGAGATCAAAATCTCACTCTATTGACTTTGAGATCCACCTACTATCCTCTACGCTACGGCTGATATGTTCGATAATGCACTCTAGTTGTTGGCGAGGCAACATCACGAGACACCACATTCAAAGTCCCGCGGAAGTTCTGGCAGGCCAAAGTGCTGCGGAACCTCTGGCATTTTTTTGGAATTTCTGCAGGATTTTGAAGAAGGCTCTGCGGAAGTTCCGGTCTTCAACCCGTTTGACCTGAAAATCCCGCGGAAGTTCCGATTTTCAACGTTTTCATTTTTGCAATAGTGAGCAAAATTCTGCGGAACTTCTGCAAATTTGGCTTGAACTTCTGGTGATTTGTCTGAGTATGTGCATGCAAACTGTGTTGAACTTTTTTCTGAATTAGCTGGCACCGTGCCAGCTGGGCTGGCACCGACACTTTGCTCACATAAGTTTTCATACTTTTTACATAAAACGTATCTACACCGTAAATGCTTGCATACAGAGAAGAAACAATTTTATGATGTTTTCTTTTCAGCGTTTTATAGCCATCTGAAAATTGCTCGATCTGCTCCGCAGTTGAAAAATCGGCTTTTTCTGCTTCTCAACATATAATGTAACCACTTAAAAAGTTCATAAAGCTGTTAAGAGTCTTTCCATAAAATCAGCATGCATGAAAATCTTACTACATGCTTACATAATCTAAAAATAATGACGGGTCTTTAAAACAGGTCAAAGCGGACTTCGTACGAAAAATTCAAGATCAAACAAGACTTCGTTTTGAAATTTCCCTGGTGCCAGCTTGTGCCGAGCCCTGAAAAGAACGCTTCGCAGATATAGGAGGTATATATAATTGAGAACAGCGTTTTGAGCTCTGGTCGCTGGCATACTACATCATCCGCGTCGCCCCTTCGACCAGGCGGTATTTCTTTGCAAGTACCCTAATTCCACGCGTATAAAGCGCACTTTTTCGAATTTTCAAGCGAGCCGCTCAGTCGCTTTAGGCAGGGTTCATACTGAGGCGGCACAGTTCCCGCACAGCGCTCGAACTGTGCTCGAACTGTGCCGGAACTGTGCTGCCTGCGCAGTTGGAGTATTTTGACCGTTTCTGACGGTTTTTCTTCTAGGTTTCTCTCATTTCGGGCCTTATTCCTCCACCCCGCTTTTCCTTTTGATGCGTGGAACTCCGAGTGCAAAGCGGGGTTGAGAGAAAAGCGCTGTTCTGCTTTGTGTGTCCGATTATGTGTGTTGTTCCGCTCGTTCATGTCTCTTTGTTTTATCCTTGCATAAAAGTATTCCATCTGTTTCCAGAAGGCATTGCGATATTTTCGCAGGCATTTTTCTTGAAGGAGGGCAAAAATAGTGCAGAAGAGCAGGAAATCCCATCAATATGTTGGCCACTATTGGGCTCCTAGCCCCTCTTCGTTTTCATTTCATTGTTTTTTCGTTCTTTGTTTTACCCCGCTTCCCTTTTTGTTGTGTAGCGCTTCGAACTTGAAGCGGGGTAAAAGAATGAACGCGATTGTGCTTCATGTATCCTCTCACCCGCATTCTTTTTCCATTTCATTGCTTCTTCGCTCTTTCTTCTACCCCGCTTCAAGTTCGAAGCGCTACACAACAAAAGGAAAAGCGGGGTGGAGGAATAAGGCCCGAATTGAGGGAAACCTAAGAGAAAAACCGTCAGAAACGGTCAAAATACTCCAACTGCGCATGCAGCACAGTTCCGGCACAGTTCGAGCACAGTTCGAGCGCTGTGCGGGAACTGTGCCGCTTTGTGCGGCTTAGTATGAACCCTGCCTTACTGTATTCCGGAAAGGAATCCATACATCGCACGATTCTCTCAAGCAATATACAGCACTTTATAGGGTCCTTTGGTTGTAAAGTCCTTTGGCGTGTCTGGGCTGGTCGATTTTGGAAAATATCCCCCGCGCCTTATATGCGTGAAATTAGAGTACCAAGTCTCTTTCAAGTATGATGAGCTTTTCCTGTCTAAACATCTGCCATGGAAGTATCGTAGCAGTTGCTGTGGCAGATATTCCATCTAGCTACTGCCCTTGATAAGGTTTAAGCAAAGCATGGTTCACTGTTTTATAAATGCCAATTCAGGCAAAGCTCAAAGTTGAATAATGAGGAAAAAAGAATGTTATTAATTACAAAGAAGTTCTCGTCAGTCATTTCATGGGTTTTCCAGAACTCGGCGGGTCTGGTTTCGAAAAAGTCGTCCAACTAGCGCCTGAGATCGTCTGCAAAATCAAAGCAGACGCCGTTCTCATCATAGATTGAAACAGATGATAATATGTTAGAGCGAGATTTCAGGAGTACATTGGATACTAATGTACCTCCCGGCCAGGTCTTGCAGGACAGATGTGACGACGGTTGCCATAAGGGGCTAAGTTTTGTCGCGCAGGAAAGCTCACTGGATCTGTTTATTAGGCCTTTTATGCATTAGAGATTCATTTACACGGTGTAGCCAGATTAAGAACCAGATTCATGTTGCAAAAACCCTGTGCTTTTTCAATGGATATATAGCTTGCATTCGTTGTGTTTTTGCAAATAAACGATTTGATTATGCTACTTTGATCTAAAATTCATGCTTGAGTGACTTATAAATCTATCCCTGCAACTCAAATTATAACGACCTCACCTCTTTATTCAGCGAAAGTCATGATCAAGTAATAAAAAGAAATGCTCTTCTTATGGCCTATAAGTTAAATTGCTGCGGTAGATAACAATCGTATAAAAAGGGAAAAGATGCATGTGTTCATCTCAATTTGTGTAAACTAGAAGAAGTCCGCTGCTGTCAAGAATGCTCCAGGCGCCGATATATTCACTTCTTTGACTTTACAAACTATATAACTGCTTTTCTTTCACAGCTAAGCAGATGTTACTATAGCGTGGAGTAAGAAGACGAGCTCGCGTTTGGGTACAACAATGAGAAACGAAAACAAAGCAGCATGCTCAGCATTGAGCTTCCGGGGTAGAAAATCAAGAGAAATGATACGGACTGCTCAATAAATTCTGTGTTCCGAAATTGTAATTTGACGCTTCGTAAACTTCCGCACATTTTCACATTTCTGACTTTTGAGCTTTTCATGCTACTTTTTTCTGTCAATAATTAGATCTCAATCTAAAACTTAGACATCAAACGTATGCAATTGTCGTTAAACCCTTTTAGATTTGCAAACAAAAAAATATTTAATGCTTGAGTTTTATTCATGAAACCGCACTAAGAGTGTGGACGGTGCTGACCACTAATGTCAAAAGTGCGATTTTCATACGAACCGCAGTCAAATGTCAGGCAAGTGGAGAACGTCACTGGGCCACATTCCACTCTTGCATATTCAAGGTGGTGTCTAGATGCTCGAATTCCACTGAGGAAGCCACGGAACTGCAAGCAGTATTTTTTTGTGAAATAATTGGTCTAAAAAACTGACCTGCTCGCAATTCACATCCTTCATTCCAAATACACCCAATGTAGGCGTAGAAAGACTAGCGAAATGTCGAAAATTACCTTTGTGGAATTGAACTCCACTGTACGCGGTGAACTCATCAAACTATACAAGCCCAATATAACACCTTTCTAATGGAGCTGGAAACCTTACCAATTCATGAAAGTCTTCATCAATATGAGAAGGGCGGACAACCGCTGAGTCGTACTCACTTCCAAAAACTATTTGGATAATGTTCGTGCTCTTACTCTGGCCATTTTCAGGAATCTGCAAATCATTCGCAAATTTTGCCTTTGCTCGTGTAAAGAACCTCAGCTTAATTTTAAGTGCTTTTGCTCTTTGCATCCACTGCGTTCTGGTTTATGACTGAATTGTCATGTAATCGCTCAACAAAGTTTTATTATTCTATTTTTCAATGATACTTGGTTTGATAAAAGAGTGAGGTAAGCTCTACAATCACACATCTCTTCTTCACACCTCATAGAAAATTACACGATCTCCTCATATCTTACTTTAAATTGATTTTTCATAACTAGAAAGTAGATAATGCACAAAAAATGACAAACCCTGCCCAGTCGTTTTCCCGTCATACATCATTATATAGCAAGTAAGCTCAAATGCAGATAGATGTAGGTTCTCCCTTTTTGGTTCTAGTGAATAACTGTAAAACTTACTTCAACGATCTTCTCTTTTTTTGCTTGCATTTACAAATTATAAACTCTTAACACTTTGAGAACTGCTAATATTCATTACTCATAATTCATTCTAGAGTTTCGGGAAAGACTGGGTAGGCACAAATATAGCAAATCTCGGACTACGGTAATGCTTCTAGATTCTTCTGATCTGCTGTCTGGAGTTAAAAATTTCTAAAAGTTCTTGAAGATCTCCATTTTTGGTGAAGTCATCAAACACACAGCTACAGCAAAAACATAAGAGCTCTCGGACCTTTTTGAGAGTTACAACTTCATTTTCATTAAATGTTGTTTGTGCAAAATAATCAAGTTTGATTTGCCTTCAAAATTCAAAGTTTTCGAGTTTTCTGTTCTCTTATGCGCTACACGTGTTCAAAAACCGGAGTTTTTCCCAATAAACAAACTTTAGAAATTTAATTCAGGTAATTAAAGACGAGTATAATGTAGTCAAAGGCTTAAACTACATGACGACCGCCAGTGCTTTCCAAATTACTAGGTTGAAGTTTTTGAAAATTAGGAAAAATTTGGCGTCATTGCTATGCTGCTAATCTCCCTGGCTATACTATCGTGGAATTTTTAGAACAGAGAGAAAGTGCAGCCATTAGAAAGAGAAGTCTGAATCAAACGATACCTCGTTCGTCGATCAGATATATGATCAGCGAACGGTCAAAAACACGACAAAACTTTTGAAACAACCTAATATAACAAAATTAGCAAATGGAAGTAATTTGTGTAACGTGATTTTCTGAGAGATTAAGTAAAAATAATAACGTACTTCTGAGATATGATTTAGCCGCTGAGTTCATTTCCATTAAAAAAAAAACTTACTGCGAAGCAGAGAGCTGCAAAAAGTAAGCGGAGCATTTTGACCGAAGTGATTCCTTAAACAGAAAATTTATATTCCAAGATGACGAATCTCATCAAATTTATCAATATTCTACCTTAACCTTAAAAAAGTACCTTGATCGTTCTAGATTGTTATGCCTATAATTTAGTTTTTGAATCTCTGCTAAAGCTGAAAATTAACAGTCAGCCCATTCACATTTGCCTCATAAAACTACAATGCCATGCCCGCTTTAGTATTTGTCATTGATAGGGAAAATATATACACAATGAAGCGTCAATCTTTATAGATCTTTATGCTTTTTTTCCATCTGTGTATTCATATTTCAAAGAAAAATGGGAAATGTGACGTTAGGATAAATGACATGTGAACACTGTTTTTGATTTTGAGTGTTGTTTGTGTTATGCCTGTTCCGTTCCCAACCACATCACTCATTATTTTGCCAATTACAAAGTAAACATGTCCGAAAAACTGCAAGCTAATAGCTACCCTCTCTCTATGTCCGAGTCATTTTTTACGGGTATTATTGAGCATTTCGCTTTAAGAACCCAGTATCAGCCAAATATCGAAGAAAAGTAACGTCAGTACGCAGATCAGTACACCAAATTCATTGACACACATTGATTCGATGTAGCTGATATATAACTGAATTCTGTATGTATGTATGTGTGTATGTGTGTACGGACCGCTCACAGAATATGCAAAATTTCCGTAAATGTCGCGGAATACCCGGAATTTCGCGTAATTCCTGGTATGTCGCGGACTTCCGCGGGATTTATATTCATATTATATTTATACAATAAGTTCTAAGACGTGCCACAAAAGCAGAGGATATAAATGAATTACCAAATGCTTATTTACAGGAGAAGACGAAATCAAAAGACAATAAATTTTTATCACGTTTAGTTTAGGTGTAATTGGATTTTTAGGAAAAAACTTCAAAAAGCACTAAGGATTTGTCGGATAAACATTGCGGTGGTGGAGAAATGAAGGATGATTATGGGAGAATAATGAGTGGAAGAGCGGATAGAAAGAGATGAAGTGGAAGATGAGAGATTGAATGAAACCTCCAAATCCTCCTGTCAGAGACAGTAACAATCGATGTATCGCCTTCTTCAAAGTCGGAGTAGTCGAAGTGATAGAGCGAACAAATAGATCATAGATACGGTAGACGATGCACTATGATAATAATGATTAGAAGACGATGATCCAAATTTTTAAGCCGCGTAGATATTATACATTCGAAGGACTTTCTATTGATCTTCGTTGTTGAAATATCTATGATAGTAGTGATATAAGTTGTGTAGAACCAGTTAAAAAATCTTTCAGTCTTTTCTTTCTGATCTCACATTTGAAAGATTTACTGTTAATACAAGTCAAAAGAGTTCAATTCATGGCAAATGCTCCAACACTCTTGACGTACGGACAAAAAATTCATGTTCATGCAAAGGTACGAAATTGTTTTCGCTCACCTTTTGTGTAGAGTGAATAGATAGAAAATGTATTAGTACTGCTATAAATGGGTTGAACGCCCAGTGTTTTGAGGGCTTCAGTTTTGTTTCGCTTCTGGAAGTCCTGAAAGCCAAAACAAGATCGTGTACAACTCTATGATACGAGAGAGTTCAAAATTGAGTGTTTTCAAACGCTGCTCGTAAGTTGGAAGATTACGAGGATATGCACAGCTGGAAAAAAACGATAAAACAGTAGTCTTGTCAAGGTTTTCTGAACGTTTTCCAAGGATAGGATGTGTTTTTTAACACGTTTCAGACCGCGAAATCGCGCGCGGCGAAAAAGAGTGTACTTTCGACCGTTAGCATACCTTCGATACATAGAGCCACGTACTCTGGTGACCTTCACTTTGAGCGTCATGATAGAACACAACCTTCACCTAGGCGAAGCCCCGGATATCATGGCATAACTAATGACATATCCATATAGGGAGAGATGTGAATGAGGTAAATATAGTAGTGACATCCAAAAGAAGCTCAAAAAACCGAAGGATTACGTTTTTATGGCCCTTTTTTGCCAAAAAGACTTTTACTCAAAAATTCAATGAGGAACTGTAGCAAAATTTCTCAATTATTCTTTCTCTAGAATCCTATTGAGCGTTGGAAGTTCATGAAAGCCGCTGGAGTTCAATAGAAACGAGAAACTGCGCTCAAATCTTGCGCAGAGAGTCGCTACTTAAATGCTGGTCTATCTCGTTATGGAGTGATTTTCAAGAACCGCGACGTTGTCAGTGCTCCTGGACGTCTCATGAGGATCACAACGATATATAATGTTACAGGGTTTCGTTATGATCCCGCGGAGATCAATGACCAGAGCCAAATGCCCCGCCGGCTCTGGTCTGTCTCCGCTGCTCGTCTGCGTCTCCGCGACTTGCGCGCTACCTCGCTACCCCAAAAGCGGGGCGCGGGGCATTTGGCTCTGGTACCCTTTTCTTCGTTGTTGAGAGCCCAATTTCGACAATCTATATATCATATTAAAGCTCTTGATCTCTATTTTCATGCTGACAACGTCGCAAGACTCCTTTTTATGATTTAAACGAGAAATATAGGAAAAACGGAGTTTTCGAAGACCTCTTGTTTTTTCTTCAGTTCAACTCTTTTCACTCGGGTTTTTTGTGTATTCGATAGGTCTTGTTTCTGTCTATGATGTAGACAACGTCGCCGAGCTTACTTTTTTGCTTATGCCGGTTTTTTTGTGAAAGTTACCAAAAAGTGCGTTTTCTTTACCTTGTTCTTTTTCAATGCTTTTGCAACGAATTTTCTCCGGCTTGGACGTTACTTGCTCAGAATGATGAGCGGAAGAATCCAGACAACGTCGCAGGATACGAAACGATCATGCGGGGGTGAAAATTCAAAGGACGCGTCAAAAATCAGATTGGCGTCGATGTGCAGCATAACTTTTCAGACATGTTTAACATGTTCAGTTCAGTTGTTGACAAGTTTGCCTTCTTTCGGTCTCCCAACTACCGCCACAGCTAACGCTTTTTTTCAATTAGAAAAGAACTTTGTTCCTGTTGCCACCCAATTTAACCGGCAATTCTGGAGACAAAAATGTGCGTAAGAAACCACCAAGATAAGGTTTTAAATTTGGTGATGTGTTAGCCTCTGTTTTATATGAATTTTTCAAGTTTCCTGGTTCAATTCGGATCTCTAAATTTCCATCTATTTTTTTAAAACAACCTTCACTTTTTATAGGGGGCAAGAACTCAAACAACTATCACTTTCTAGGCTCTGTCTCTTGACTATCGAAGGTATGACCGTTAGCCAACAACGGGACCTTATTTCGCAGGCTGTGGACTACATCTGTAATCAGCATAACACATAAGCTCCATACCTAAAGTTCTGAGTGAATTAGAAGTGTTTGAATTTTGCCGCTTCAGAAGGACTTCTGTGCTTTCTTGAAAGATAGGAACAACAACTCAGTCTCAAATAGTATCTAAAAGTATCTAAGTTGTACACTGTACCCATCAATATTGAAATTACGATTTATCTCTTTGAAATCAAAGTAAAGAAAAGTTGCGGCGACGTCGCACGAGTCGTTCGCGTCGCCGCACTTCGTTGCAACTGTTGTTCGATTTGTCCTCATATCTCCTGAATAAGTATCGGCGGCACAGCTCTACAGGATCATTTGAAAAGTAGGAGCTTAGACCTTTGACATATTAACCTTGGACTAAAAGAAAACCTTCTGTAAACGTCAGAAAGATCCTTTAATGCAGCGCGCAGCACCGTGTGTAGCACCGGTCCGAAACGTGTTAAGGGATTCCGGAATTCCGCGAAAATTCCGGGAATTCTTTTGAAAAACATCCCGGAAATCTTGCATATTCTGTGAGCGGTATTGTATGTCTGTACGTCTGTACTTATGCTTCAAATAGAAATTTCTAGTTCTTACCCGATCCGGACCAACTTTTGCTTACATACCTTTCGAGGCGGCTGAAATTGACCGCAAGGCTCTGTGATTGATGAGTCAGATGCTTAAGAGTTTTGCAGTATGGCACTACACGGTAAGGCCAATGAATGGTCCAAATGACAACAAAGTTATGCTCCTACATTAACCCTTTGGGACCTGGTGGTGGCAATTGCCACCATCAACTTCAAAGGGCAGTGTTACTGGCGCAACAGCAGATTTCTACTACTTATTGCTATAGGTAACTTCAGATAACCTTTGCCTTCCTGATAGTGATTTGCAAGCCCCATTTTATCCAAGGTGGTACTAGCAATGTAGGAATCTTTGTGCGCAACTGAGTGACAAAAAATCGATAGCAGTTGTCTGCCGCAGCATCTGCTGAAAAAATATCTATTAATCCCGCTGATAGTTGAAATGAGTTTATACTATTAACTGAAGTGTGGAGTATGCTGTCACGCGAGCACATCTGCTATGAGTAAGCGATTTCATCTTTGTTCGAAAAAATCAGAAGATTGAATGAAGGTTGGCAGAAACAATTAAAAATAAAAACGTCTTGTTGTCGAAAAAGTTCCAAACTTCGCTGTATTGTTATTCAAACGCTACCCTATCATAAGCAGTAGGTTAGCAGTTCTCTCTCTTACTGGGAAAAAAATCAGGCACTAAAGGGTTAACATTGCTTTCTTGCAAATTTCTCGCTACATCTCCTATTCTAGCAAGTTGCTTAGTTATTTCTGAAACAACTCCCAATCTGACTCTGTTAGAGTAGTGTTTAGCCCTGCTTTAAACTCTTTACACTATATGACTAAAAATGCGGCGTGGAGGAAGTGTGCAAACATACATATTGTGTTGGCCACCATATACATGAGAACATTCTTTCAAATTGATGAGTCAAGGACAAAGGGACAACAACAATCACATTTATTGAACGTGTGCTATAACACAGAGTACAAAGTATCACTTCAACGGCAAATCTGCCGCTACGTGTTCACATTTCCCGAGCTTGAAGTTTTTGAGCACGAATATAGGTAGAGTCACAGTTCCCTGGGATGACCACCTTTGCGTTACTGAACCAGATGGGTTGTTAATTGCAAGCGTGTGCTAGATATTACGACAAAAACCAAATTTTGATAGAGATCGTGACCTGACCTTCATGCGGAGTTAGAAAAATGAAAGCACGAGTTCAGAAAATTTTTAAAGTGTCGCTCGCGTATCGGCGCATCCGATAAGTATCGTGCAAATTTCGAAAACTTGACGTGAGTTTATCCTACCATCCGCGGCATGAGTGAAACGTCGGCCGTCGCCCTTCCGCATGATCGCATTGATTGTCTGAGTACCCCACAAAAGAGTACGCGCGAACCGCGGAAGGAGCGAGGCGGTCGCTTAGACCGAATTGTTAAAGCAGTGACACTCGCACTGGACAGCCTACACTCAAATATGTCTTTCAATGGAAGCGAAGCGCTTGCAACGCCGTTGTAAAGCGCACGAGGCATGAGGCACAGAGTAGTACTGCCGCATTCGCAAAGCTTCCTTTCCGCGAAAAGTCTGCCACGCATAGCAGTAACCTTATAAGCAAGTGGAAAACCTTTGTCAGTCTTATATTAACCTGGGTGATCGGAAAGTATTGGAGCACTAGTGAACATTCCCACTTTTTTCAAAAAATAAAGCATCAAGTATAGAAAAACATTTATTTATTTAATTATTTATTTAGTTGATACTCAGGCGTATCAAATCGGGTAGGGGCCTTTACGAGGCGGTCGCTTTAGAACACGTTATGTCATCGATGGGCTCCACCCCGCACGGACAGCTGCTACAAATCTGTAATGTATGTGGTGTGCATGGCTGCGTGGTCTGTCGCAAATGTTCGCGCCGGACCCCCATATCAGCTCAAGTCCAGCTCTCAGATAGCGTGTTAGGAGTAGAAAAAGGTTGAGATTCACCAGACCTTGTACGACGTACATACCGAGACAGATTATTCTTCCATCAAGATAAGGGAATGAGAAGACTTCAGCTGTTCTACACAGCTGCTGAAGTCGAAGAGATATCCAAAAAGATCATAACTTCGTGGTAGATTGCGGGAGAACGGAAAATTTGTGAAGTCCCTGAATGCTTTACACATTCAGGTTTTTGAGGATTTGAAACACACTTATTGCCTTCGCATATTTTGAAAGTGGAGCTTGCTCAGCAAAAATCAGCTAAGAACTGTGTAACTCGTAAGTTGTGTAAATACAACATGCCTTATACGGAAAGGTTCCTTTTTTTAGCTACGAAATCTTTGGAGATAGAATTGCTGGCTTATCTGATTGTAGATGCTGCCATTGAAATCCATATTCAAATAATCACTCTCTGCACTGGTCAATTTTTTGTGCGTATAAAAATGCTAGATGAAGCGATTCCGCTAAAAATTTAGACGTTATATTCTTGACCTAGGAGAGCTTAGGCTACTTTTAAGGCAATTTGCAGATCTTTATGGATGTCTGGTGCTGGTCAGGTGCTTTGCAATAAAAAACCTCATTATATCACCTTATTCTACAGTTCTGTGTAAACAATGCTAAAAAATCTCATTTTCTTTCGTAGCGAGGGTACTCAAGACGAACCGATGTAGTAGGTGAGCGATTCTGATACTGAAGCACTCGCAAAATAGTATGAGACATGAAAAGCCGCGTAGTACAGCAGAATTAGAGCAAAAAAACATCCTTAAAGAGAGAAAGGCGGAACAAAGCATTTTTGCTCCTGATGGGTCCGGTGTCGGACGTTATCGTGTTCGAGGCGAATCCAGGAAAAGTAGTACAAAATAAATCGTGGCTAGTTCCCTGATAACCACAGTATAAGATGCGGATATTTCTTGAATGTATTTTTGTTGGCATAATTTGTTGAACTGCAATGCATTCTTTATTTTTGCACTCGTCATTATCATCTAGCTCCTGCAGGTGCAGTTGTTTGCGGGTGATAGTCGTACGGACCACAAGAGAACGCCATGCAGTAGGAGAATGTCATCGGACCACAACTAACAGAGGCATACTGTAGGTGATACTTTTGTGCCTTGATGCCGCTGAGAAACTTTCGGAACTAAAATGTATCCGATTGACAAATAAATTTAGATGATGTGTCATTCCAAACTCACATCTTCACAGTTAGTGTTTCGCAGTCCATATTTTGCCATTTGGTAGCTACCGCTGTACGTTTCCAGCCTACGCAAATTTCTCTTGTTGTAGTGTAGTCCATGAGTTTCAGCAAATTCGTCAAACTAAGCAAAAGAATTTTCTTTGCTTACAGAGCGAACGTAATACTTACCAACTCCATAAAATCATCCTGCGCCTTATGATAATTCTGATTGTTGTTGTATTCGCTGACAAGTAACACTTCAACCATATCCCAGGGTGACGAAAAGGCACTTTTAAATGCCTAAAAATCACCTTTTGTTGACATATTTATACCGCTTTGACTGGATGACTTCTAAGCAATATTTGATACAACTTACAGTGACAGCCAGAAAAGCGAAGAGTAGCGAAAACATCTTTGACAATTTTAGCGCCACCGTTGCAGCTTTTATTCTTTAGCGGCACATTAACTTTTTCCGTGCTCGATAACCACACAAAAGGAAGAGAGAAGCCATTTATAGATATTTAACAATAATGCATTACTTTCATTTATCGTGTGCATTTTTCATAATCATAACTTATTATCCCATGGCCTCTAAATTCTTAAGAAAAACCTGGGATGCCCTTGTTCACTTTACCGAAGCATATATTTACCCATCACACTCTAAGACCCGATTTATGCGGGAGGTACCGTATTCCAATCTATAAATGAGCCGAAACGTTTAGAATGAACTTTCACAAAGTATTGGATTGCACACATTGTTGGCATCACATACTGCTGATTCGTTCAACATCACGTATAGAGCGTTGCAGATAGCTAAGCCGGCATCTGAGCTCAACTTTGCCCCGTCAATAACCTTCGCACTTGCCCACCCTTTCTGCCCTTCTAATCAAGCAAGATAGGGAATATATGTTCAATGGCAAGGGAATATATGTTCAGAATCAGCTTTGAACGCTGATTCCAAATATACTACTCTTAGCTGCTGCGCGCCATTCTGAAGCGAGTTATGAGCTTTTTCCTGCGCAAAATTGGCATACTATTGGACATGGGAGGACTGCCTGTAGATAAATTCTGCAAGAAAAAGGTGCTGAGATATTTAACTAACAACAAGCCAATCTTTTTTCATCAAAAAGAAGCTTAGCGCAAGTGTATTAGCACTTAGGTGATGATACCGTGATGCCAGCGAGTCGATGAGTATGCCAATCTCGCATAGGAAAAGTCATTACTCGCTTCGGAATAGTGCTCGGCAGCTAGGTATAGCATATTCGAATCAGCGTTTGAAGTGATTCGGAATATACAGGGTGTTTGGAAAGTACATGGTATAAAGTACTTCCTGTTCGAATTTTAACGCGGTTTCTGTTTTATTGTGCTCATCAGGCCTAGATAACATTATTTCAGTGAAAATCAGATGTGTTTGCGGTTTCTTTGATTTTTTATAGGATTGTAACACATTGGTATAGCTTTCCAGACCTCTTCCCTTGTAACGCTTGTTACAAAACAGGAAAATTAATTCACAGAATGCTTGGTATAATTTTGAAAAGCCCTTTTGGGGTTTTTTACATGTGTTTTTAGTTTCGGAGAAGTAAGTTTATTTTAAGATACCGTGCCTCACAAGACAAGAGATCCAGTTTCAGAATTTTTTCGTCCAAAAATGCAGCACCTGAATTTTTATATACTATCCTCTAAACCATTACAAGCGTGCAAGATTTTTGAAAACGAATACAACGAAGGTTAGAGAGTTGTGCTACAGATACGCTTTTAATTAAGACTCCCAAAATTTTTCAAACGGAAAATACTTCAACGCAACCTTGTGCCACAATTGTCTACTGTAATTTAGGAGATGAAAATCTTTGTCTGCAAGCTACCGAAGAATTTCGTTATATACAGAAAGTGTAAACTTAGGACCATCTATAGTAGAAAAAACGGGAACCTGTTTCGTTTTTTGGCGTTAAAAAAGTCAGATAATGCACTCTTCCTCCTCTCTAAGGAATCTGAAAAAATTGGTTACTTCCAAATTTCTTAGGGTATCTTGAAGCGTAAAATAATTCTAATTGTTGATTCAGTGGTTTCTAGGTTTGGCGAACACATATAGCAAAAATCGAGTTGGGGCGTAGTTGAAGTACTTGAGGCCGCAAACTTTTCAACACCCTGTATATGTCTTTTGCCAAAACGCCTATCTAAGTTAGGTAGCCTCCCTTATTAGATTCAGTTTTAGTAATTAGCGTCCTCGACTCTGTATCAGCTTCAAACACCCAGCTCAGAGTTCGCATTGCTACACTCGATAATGCTTATCAACAGTCTCAGACAATTAGTGCGAGCACCCGCCGCCCCTAACGGTGCCTTTCGGCGGTGCGCGGGCGTTGAATTCTTAGATTGACCATACGCGGCCCTAGAATAATTTGCTTGGCGACCCGCGGCTCAATGTTATCGCTGAGGAAAGGCTGCGGGCCTTAAAGTTTTATCAGAACACCCGCGGCCTAAGAAAAAGCACTCGGGCGAGCCTCGGGCCTTACTGCACGCTCTGCATATTCAGTTCTCGGGCAAGCCCTGGCCCGACAGAGTCACTTCCAACGAGCCCCGGGTCTTGCTTGTTCCCTCAATCAATACACGCTGTAGGAGAGAACACTACTCGCGTGAGATACTCCGTGGTAATAGGGCTACCCTCAACGTTTGCATCGTAAGTAAAGCCAAGTAACTTGAAGTTCTTGTTCATCAACAATGTCTCGGATGAGCCCTATTGGACTATTTGGTCTTGAAACCAGATGGACCGTCGAAAACTTTGTTATAATAGTGTAAATGTCGCGAAAGTTTGGGGATGAAATGTATGAACTTATTTGCCCTTGCCCCCCCCCCCTTAACCACCCCTCCCCCCAGATGCATTGCGCACTTATCGGGCGCTTGCCGGGCCACTCGCTGGCGTTGTTCGGGCGCTTATCGGGTCACCCGCGGGCATGGTCGGGCGCTTAGCGGGCACTTTTCGGCGCCCTCGGGACGGGCGTGGCTTCGCTCGTAAGTGGCGGCAGGTGCTCGCCATAATTGTCTGAGGTTATAAAGAAGATATACAATGTACCGTTCGATATACGATGAGGAACTTCTTTTCGACAGTTAAGATCCCGTGTTTCATTGAATGGGTGCTGATTTCGTCTGCATCATGTCTAGCTTGCGCTAATTTTCAAATTTCTACTTAAAATTTTCGAGTATGCCTCAATGGGCTAGCTACTAGGGCAAAAATTTAGCAAATCGATGCAATTTTTTGAGGTTCTGCTAATACGTCTTTGAGAGATTCTGAAGTATATATGTCTCGAAGTGATCAAGATTAATATGTGTCCAATTACACCATGTAAAACAAAAATGGGTAAACAGTTTAAGCACCTTTCAATAATTTCCATGTTCCGTTTTCTTTAAACCTGGGCATTGCTTATAATCTTCAACTCTGTTGTGCCGTACAGGTTTGTTATGGTGGCAGATTTATTGATACTGGCCTAACGTTTCGACGCTTTCGTCGTCCTCAGAGGCTTGAAAACGACTGAAGGCATCATCCGTAATACCAGACCACCAGATGTCTCTTCTAACTCAGCCAGTTTCGACTTCATTCCGACTTCGCGTCGCAAAAACTCTCAAGACAGATATACTCACCCTCGCACCACCGCTATTCGAAATGTCCGCACGACTGGATGTGACAAGAGTTGACGGACAAGTGAGTGATACAGTAGAATGCGCATCAAGACGCTATCCACTATCTACAACTCACACAGTGGCATATACGGCAGAAACTCGGCGGTTATAGACAGGCACTCATTCTTATTATTCAGTTCTGGAGTCTTTGCGGATATCCAGAAAGCCTCTAGAATCTTCCTAGCCGTAATATCTGTTTCAAAGGTCAAAATTTTGCATTTGACTGCAAAATCATTTCCGCCATGCGCGTCACTCCTATGTTTGCCTATACTTTGCAAAGTCGAAGAGCCTGTGTTGAGTCGAATGCCGTTGATGTACTGCCGGTACATCGATGACTGTTGTTTGGTGACCTCTACACAGTCCGAAAGGGACGAGTGTTTTAGGATCCTCAACCAACAGTCGCAATACATCCGGCTTACTCGCGAAAAACCACGAGAGGGGTGGCTGCCTTACCTAAACACGCTGGTCAAGTTAAGCAATGGCATCGCAACAATGAAGTGGTATCGCAAGAATAGTTGTAAAAACATCCTCATTAATGCAAAGTCTGCACACCTCATGAGCACTAAACTAGCTGTGATCGGCAATATGTTTAAAACAGCGACGATGGTGTGCACCGGAGAGGATGAACGCCTCGAAGCGCGATGTCTAGCCTCACAGATCGCCCGCAGTAATGGCTATGCAGTTTCGGCGCAAACGCAACGTCACAATCGCCAACAGCGTTTACGCAAGGACCGCACTCGAATCGAAAACAAACTCGCACTCTGCCTCCCGTTTATTTCAGATAAAGTCAGCTCTGCCTTCCAACAATGCATTTCGCAGGCACAGCTACTAGACGATGTTGTTTTGGTTAACATACCGAACGACAATCTCAAAAAACAGCTTGTCCGTAATCGCCTTTACGATCGACAATGTATAACGGATAATTGCATTGTGTGTCCATACAGCAGAGAAGGTGACTGCGCCAGGGTGGGAGTAGTATACCAACTCGAATGCCTCGAATGCAAAGCAAAATATATTGGCGAAACTGGGAGAGTATTAAGCGTACGCTCAAAAGAACATCTGGCAGGCAAGAGACGGAAGAGTTTAGTAACCCCATTGGGCAAACATGGGAGTGACGCGCATGACGGAAATGATTTTGCAGTCAAATGCAGAATTTTGGCCTTTGAAACAGATAGTACGGCTAGGAAGATTCTAGAGGCTTTCTGGATATCCGCAAAGACTCCAGAACTGAATAATAAGAATGAGTGCATGTCTATAACCGCCGAGTTTCTGCCGTATATGCCACTGTGTGAGTTGTAGATAGTGAATAGCGTCTTGATGCGCATTCTACTGTATCACTTACTTGTCCGTCAACTCTTGTCACATCCAGTCGTGCGGACATTTCGAATAGCGGTGGTGCGAGGGTGAGTATATTTGTCTTGAGAGTTTTTGCGACGCGAAGTCGGAATGAAGTCGAAACTGGCTGAGTTAGAAGAGATATCTGGTGGTCTGGTATTACGGATGATGCCTTGAGTCGTTTTCAGGCCTCTGAGGACGACGAAAGCGTCGAAACGTTAGGCCAGTATCAATAAATCTGCCACCATAACAAACCTGTACGGCACAACAGAGTTGAAGTTTAAGCACCATTCGATTCAATTTTAAAAAGTGTCGTTTCTTTGCACATCACAAAAACTTGCAGAGAATTCAGAGTATTTCTTTTTTCAATAACGCACTGTCGTATCCTGAGCTTCAGTCTCCATA